GGCTGGCATGTGGTGCTGGGGGATTGAACCACGGTCCCTGTACTTTGCTAAGCTTGTTCTAAGTAGGTGCTTTAGACCACTGAGCCATCTCACCAGCTCCTCTTTTCTTTTCTTTTCTTTTCTTTTCTTTTCTTTTCTTTTCTTTTCTTTTCTTTTCTTTTCTTTTCTTTTCTTTTCTTTTCTTTTGGCTGATTTTCAAGGTAGTTCTTATTCTTGCAGGCCTGGGCTGGTTACCACAAGAGCTAGTTGTTTGCAAGCATGGCTGCACCTTGTGCTCTGCCTCTTGCTTCTTCCCAGCAGGCACCCTCCTGCCTCCGCCTGCCCCTGTGCTTTCCACCCTAGCTGATGGAGCCCAACACTCTCACCAGTGGCCTTCCCAGCCCTGAGAACTGTGAGCCAAAATAAAATTGTTTATAAATCACCCAATCTCAGATATTCTGTGATAGTAACAAAACAGACTAAGAGCCACAATCCTTTTTTCTTCTCCAGTACTAGAGAGTGAACTCAGGCTTTCACATGGAGCTACTTCATCGACCCTTTTAGTTTTTATTTCGAGATAGGGTCTCTCTCAGTAGGTTCCTAAATGACCCAGGCTGGGCTGGAACCTGCAATCCTCCTGCTCCAGCCTCCCCGAGTGCTAGGATGATAGACACACAACTCCACACCTGGATCAGGCACAGATCCTCTTAGAAGTTCACGCACCTTATAAAGTGCCAGCAGCACCTACGCTGGGCCATGCACAGGCTATAATGGGTTCCCATGAGCACTGCAAGAAGAGTTACTCATATTCTTCTGTGCAGACAACTCAGCTCTGGAAGGTAAACGCTTCTGTTGTATGCTGTTTCTTCCTGCTACACAGCTGGCAGTGTCATTTCATGATAAAATGCACGGTATTGTATGTAACGAGTTGGTGCTGAAAGAAATGACAAGAAGATTCGATGAATATAACTACAGAGGTCTCACTGAGATCAGTCTCTAAGTGAGCCCAGAGCCACAGAAACATCTCACATTTATTGAAGGGTAAGGAATGTGTATAGTTACTTTGTCAAACACAGACTACTCTGTTGACTTGAGCATTTACCTAACTCTTTAAGTTTACACAATGCTAGCCATTAACATCCCGAGCAAGGGATGAAACAACAAACAGGGCGCCAGCAGGAGGAGCTGTTACCCGCAGCCTTGAATCCCAGCTTGCCAGAATTTACAAGAGAGACAACAGTTCTCTTCAGACTGTTTATTGCTCCTTGCTCCCTTCGGGATATTAGGCCTTTGTCCCACATCTGTATTTCTATAGGAAGGCCCTGGCTTCCATCCCAACCACCACACCCTTGGAATTGGGAGGGAGCCAGAGCGTGGCAAGTGGGAATCAGGCTTAGTCTCTGATGCCCTCAAAGGCAGGAAGGAATAGGGCCAGAAGGTACCAGAAGGGGGTTCGCCTTTTGTTCAAGAAACTCATGCTTACAGCCTGACTTCTTCAGTGACTCTGTTCTTATCCCCCAAATCTTTTTTTTTTTTTTTTGGTAGTGAAAATCCTGTCTCAGCCTCCCCAGTGCTAGGATTACAGGCGTACACCACCATGCCCAGTTTGGGTGGCCAGCTTAGTGCAAGGCTGGCGGGGCATGCAGTACTGGGGATCAAACTCGGGTCTTTGTGCTTGCCAGCAGATGCTTAGACCCCCAAGCTATCTCCCAGGCCCTGCCCCCCAAATCTTGGAATGCTCTGCTTTGCCTTCTCCCTCTTTCCTTCCTCAAAACATATTAAAAATGTGCCTAGGCGGGGCTGGTGAGATGGCTCAGTGGTCTAAAGCACCTACTTAGAACAAGCTAAGCTGAGCAAAGCACAGGGACCGCGGTTCAATCCCCCAGCACCACATGCCAGCCAGCCCTGCCCCCTGGTGGGCTGAGCTGGCCCCCCACACACACACACAAATAATAATAAATTAAAAAATAAAATAAAATAAAAATAAATTGTACTCCAAACCTGTATTAAAAAAAAATAAAAATAGGGGCTGGTGAAATGGCTCAGTGGTCTAAAGCACCTATTTACAACAAGCTTAGCAAAGCACAGGGATGGTGGTTCAATCCCCCAGCACCACATGCCAGCCAGCCCGCCCCCTGGTGGGCTGAGCTGGACACACACACACACACACACACACACACACACAAATAAAAATAAATAAAATAAATTTTAAATAAAGGGACAATTTGTGACTTTTTAATCAGTACCTCTTGGTTCGGGTACTCAATCAAAATCCAGGGCACTTACAGGTTAGCTCAGTTGTTTAAGCACCTGCTTGGGCAAACCCAGTCAGGTGCAGGGGAGGGAGGTTCGATCCCCAGCTCCACATGCCTTACCAGACCTGCCCTTAAGGCAGCCTGAGCCAGCAAAAAAAAAAAAAAAAATCAAGACATACTAAGTGAGCTCTTCAGGGTTGAGCACAGCTCTGTGGGGATCTGTGGGGCTGACTGCACCCTGCCTCCACCCGACCTCACTATGACCATCCTTCCAGGGGTCTTACCAACCCTCACTTCTGCCCACTCGTAAACCCCATACCCTGGGAAAGATACCTCTGGGTTCTACTGCTTTTATCTAGTCTCATGCAACCCCTAACTGTGTAGCTCAGAGGACAAGGGCACAAGATTTTGAATCAGCCAATATAAATGACCTCCTCTCCTCAGCTGTGTGGGCTTGGACCAATTACTTGAGCTCTCTGGATCTGTCCCCTAATCTGTAAAATAAAGAGCTGGGGAGACAGCTCATCGGCACAGCGCCTGCCTGGCAAGCACAAGGTCCTGAGTGCGATTCCTAGTACTAAACATAAACAGCACTTCCTACGAGGCGGCATCTGAGTCCTGAGAATGGCAAGGGAAGTGGTGAGCACCATGACTGCACGAGAACTGGACTAAAACTTGGACCATGTCGTAAAGTAGTATCAGTGTAATCAGGGCTCCTCACAGCACCCTGGAGAAATTGCCAGTGGAAGAAAGGGTCCGTTGGGGCCGGGGAGATGGCTCAGTAGGATAAGCGCTTGACTGGCAAACGCAAGGGTCTGAGTTCAATCCCCGGTTCCACCAAAGGAAAGAAAGAAAGGGTCCATTTCTGACTCTGCAGGGCCTGACATATAGAAGACATGTAATAAACAGCCACTGAGCTGGGCTCGGGGGGCTCGGGGGGCTCGGGGGCTCCTGCCAGTTTTTCCAGCTTTCAGAGAAACAAAGGCAAGAAGGTTGAAAGTTAAATTCTAGCTTGGACAATTTAGGAAGATCCTGTCTCAAAAGGGGCTAGAATGTAGCTTACTGGTAGAATACCTCTGGGTTCAGTCCCGATACTGGAAAAAAAAAAAAAAATTAAGGGCTGGGATGTTGTTTTGTTCAATCCCCAGCACTGCGAATAAACAGCTATTGAATGAACCATTAAAGAGATTCTGTTAGGCCCTACATGATACAAAAGTGAATTCAAAATGGGTGTGGTGCACGTACACTTGTAATCCCAGCACTTGGGTGGCTAAAACAGAAGGATCATCATAAGTTGGAGACCAGCCTGGATTACAGTTCAAGGCCAGCCTGATCCTGTTTCTGCATAGCCCGGCCATTTGGAGGCACTAAGCAACATTCTGCCCTCATCTATAAAGGGCCAGGTGGTAAATAGCTAACGCTCCTTGGCCTATATACTGTCTGTTGTGACCATTTAATTCTGCCTTGTAGCAGTCATAGATGTGGCTGTGTTCCAATACAACTGTATTTATGGACCCTGAACGTTTAGTTTCTTATCGTTTTCACAAGGTAAGGGGGCCGAGGAGATGCTTCAGTGGAATAAGCACTTCCCCGGCAAGAGCAAGGGCCTGAGTTCAATCCCCAGTTCTTTCCCCCAAACAGTTAAAATGGAAAAACAATTCTTAGTTCACTGAGTGCAAAAGCCAGGGCTAAGGATGTACCTCTGGCAGAGCGCTTGTCTAGCACAAACGAGGCCCTAGTTTTCTTCAAGAACGTGTAAAATTTACTCCCAAACAAGTGGGCGGGGTCAGGGAACAGTTTAGGATTGGGTCTCGCCTGGTGGGCGGGGCGGGCGGGTGGGGTATAGTGACGTAGAACGCGGGAGTCTCGACAAGCCTGGATTGGTCTACTCTAGAAGCGTATATGCCATTGAGCCAATCAGTGCGGCGCTGCTGCCTGGCGCAGACGTTGCGTCACGAGGGGCGGGCGCTTCGCAAACTTGCACGCCCCCCGGGCTCACTTCCGGGCACAGTGGCTGCGTGACGTCAGGCGGAGGGCAAGTAAGTGCGGGCGGCTGGGCGGGCTGACATGGTTCCTTGTACTGGAGGTGGCCGGGGTCTCCACTGCGATCCCTGACCCAAGTCCCTGGTCTCCTACCCAGCTCTGGTCCCTGTCACGTCCGTCGTAGGGCTCCTAGATTTCCTCTAGAAAATGAAACTTGCAGGCCCCTAAATTTGTGTAAAACGATGCTTCTAAGACGGTGGGTGTGAGAAATAGCCAAAATTGCCAGCCTTTAGCTTGGCGTTGGGGGCTTCCTAAACACTTTGCTGAGCCTTAAGAGCAACGTTGGCAGCTCAGTGCTTCTGTAGACCCCTGTTTCCAGACGAGGAAACCAGGCAGCTGAAAAGCAGCATTTGGAGAGCCCAGCTCAAGCCCTTAGCTGACGGAGGCAGTAGTGAACCCTTGGCCCTGCGGACCAGATTTCTCCACTTCAACCTATAACCTCCCCGGCGCCTTTCGCTAGGATGACAGAATCATCTTAAGTCTCAGTCCCTTACGCATACACAAACGCACAGCTCCTGTTAGCTGAGGCTTTCCTTTATGCAAGCACTTCTTGCTTCACAATAACCCAGTCTCTATCCACTGTTCTCCAGTGAGAATACAATTTCCGGGGAACCCACGCTCTGCCTGAGGCCACCCAGCTGGGGAAGAATGAAGCTGGGATTTAAATCCGGGAAGCTGTGACCCCAAAGCCTGGCATTTAAGTTATTTCGTTGGCAAAATAATTTTAGAGTGGAATGGACCTTAGAAAGCTCCCACCCAAGACCAAGAGAGGTCCAGGTTGGTGGCAGGACAGTTTCATCCGGGGCTTTGCACCACCGCTGCCCCCACTGCGTCAGAATCTCTGCTGGCAACTTCTGATGCTACCCAAGTCGTCCAGCACAACCCCCCCCCCCTGCCCTCGCTCATTACCTGGAGATAACAGTAACAGAACTCATGCCAAATTTGTAGTGTCAGACTGAATATCCACAGTGCCTGGTGCTCTGAACATCAGACCACAAGTAGTCAGGTTGACCGGTTGCTACTATCAGACACCGGGTTTCTGGATTCCCTATGCAGGGGCCAATGAACAAGGCCTGTCGGCCAAATCCAGGATGTTGTACAATGCTCAAGTTGAAAATGGTTTTACATATTTCATGGTTGGGGGGGATAAAGTAAAATGTTTGTGTACCAGTTCTGTCCTCTTGTTGGTGTGAGGCACAGCTGAGTAGTTGAACAGGGTCTTTCTGGGCCAAAAAGCCAGAACTGTTTACTGCTTGGCCTTTGACAGAAAAAACTGACCAGTCTTCATTCCTTGCTGTGCAGTGTGTTTCCTTGTTATATGCTACATTTTTCTTTATTTGACCTAAATGTCTTCTCCAAACATTGGGAATAATGTCCCATTTCATCTACCTGTGGTATTTTACCATGTCAGACATGGGTTGTACTGGAACCTCAACTCGTTATTTTGTTTATCTTCTTTATTTTCTTTCTTTTTGGAGGGGTAGAAGGTGCAGAGGATTGAATTAAAAGCCTTCTTACGGAGCTACATCCTAGACTTTCTTAATTTGTTTGTTTGTTTTAGTTTGAGACAGGGTCTCACTAAGTTGACAAGTCTGGGCTTCATTTTCAACCCTCCTGCCCGAGCTCCCAGAGTTCAAAGACTACAGGAATATACCACCATGCCTGACTTTATTACCCAGTTAGATTCATCAGAGACCAGCCACTGTGCTGGATTTGGGGATTATGGCACATAACCTGACCAGAAAGACAGCCCGTACACCAATAAATAGAAACAGGATGATGTGACAAGACCACCCAGGAAGAAGTGATTTAATTTTTTTTCCTTTGAGCTGCACATGTTGAACTGAAGGCCGTACAGATGCTAGGCATCTGCGCCACTGCTGAGCTCCACCTCCAACCCAGGAGTGCTAGTTTGGGTTCCGGAGGTGGCTTTGACTAACAACAGGGGGCTGTGGGAAGAGCAGTCAAGACAGTGGACAAGAAGGTACAGGATCAGCAGGTGTAGGCCAGCCGTGTGTGGCCTGTGGGGACATCCAGGAAGCCCATGTGGCTGGAAGAGGGAGGGAACCTCTGAGAGGCAGGCAGTGGCCACACAGATTTGATTTTAAAGGGGATGGAATTAGCCTGGTCCAGTGGTCAGGGAAAAAATAAAAAAAGAAGAATATTTGGTGAAAGTTAGTAACTGTGGGGCTGGAGAGATGGCTCAGTGGTCTAAAGCACCTACTTGAAACAAGCTTGGCAAAACACAGGGACCGTGGTTCAATCCCCCAGCACCACATGCCAGCCAGCCCTGCCCCCTGGTGGGCTGAGCTGGCCACACACACACACAATAAATAAATGTAATAAAAATAAATAAATAATAAAAAAAAAAGAAAGTAACTGTGAAATTCCAGTTTCTGTGTCCGTGACATCAGCCTTTGCTTTTTCCAGTGCTAGGGATGGAATCCTGAGTCTCACGCATTCTCACCCCAGCCCTGGGCTATGGTTTTTTAATTCATTCATGCTACAAAAGAAGGAAGAAGGGAATTACTGGAAGGGTTTAAGAAATGAGAGACTTGAGCTGTGTAGCAAGACCCTGTACCAAATAAAATAAATGTTAAAAAAAAAAAAAAAAGTGAAAGATGCCCCTCTGCCTGCTGTGGATTGAGCAGGTAGAAGGGACAGGACACAGCTAGGGGACAGGACTGCAAGGGTCTAGGCAGGAGATAGGGGGTTTGGCCCAGGTCACCCAGGTTGGGGGCAGAGAGATGAAAGGTATCAGAGGCAAAAGCATTGTCAGCCAGAGTGGACAAAACTGACTAGCCCTCTCCCTCTCCCTCTCCTTCCCCACCTCCTCTCCCCCTTCCTCTCCCGTTTCCCTCCCCTTTCCCCTCCCCCTCGCCTTCCCTCTCCTCTCACCTTCTTCCCAGGTGAGCACTGCTCTTTGGACGCTTCCTTCCCTGGCAAGAGGCTCCTCTGAGCCAGCACCACCCACCCCTCACAGCCTGTGGCCCCTTTCCAGACTGTGGAGGGCAGTACTGGACCATCTTCTGCGTGACCCCGCCCCCTTGAGGGTGAGGACCAGTTACAGCTCCCAAGATGGTGAGTGACAGCCTCCTGCTCCCTGGGGTTCATGCTGTTGTCAGACCCCTAAAGTTGCACCTATCCTCTTCCCAGGCTGTAAGGTAATTTCTAAGCCAGATGTTGAATTCTTTCTAGATTTGTTTGTTCTTTGCACCACCAGGAAGAGAACCCAGCAGTACCCTACCACTGAGCTACATCCCCAACCTTTATTTTATTTCTTATTTGATTCACTACCTTGGTAAGTTGCCCAGGCAGGACTCAAATTTGCCATCTTCCTGCCTCCTAAGTACAAGAATTACAGGCAAGCACCACCGTGCTCTTGTGATGAAGTATTTCTAAACCTTCATTTGGCACTAAAATCTTCGCCTAGAGTTTTATTTTGTTTTACTTTCTTCAATTTGCTTTGTTTTTTTGCAGTACAGGGGATTGAACCAGTGGTGCCGTACTGCTGAGCTACATCCCCAGCCCTTTGTATTTCTTATTTTGACATCGTATCTTTTTTTTTTTTTGGCGGAACCAGGGATTGAACTCTGGCCCTTGCGCTTGCCAGGGAAGCACTTATTCCACTAAGCCATCTCCCCGGCCCCTGTATTTCTTATTTTGAGACAGTGCTATGTTAAGTTGCCTAGAATGGGGTAGACCTTGCAATCCTCCTGCGTCAGCCTGCCCAGTAGTTGCAATTGCAGGGATGTGCACTGCTCTGCCTGTCTACCTGGAGAAATTTTTTTCTCTCTTTTTTTAGATGAGATGAAGTTCATGTGCCATAACCTCGATCTCTCTCACAGTGCTGAGAATCAGGTGGGAGGCAGGTGCTTTCTGCAGCCACGAGCTGCACACCCAGCCTCGGGCCATGTTTCTTCCTTCCATTCCTGTGCTGGTGACCATGTGGATCGTGTCTGCCTTTGGCTGTCTAGGGGTGCCACGAGTGTCCTGGCCGTGCAAGAGCCCTGTGTTCTGGTGCCTCTGAATAGCCCACACCACGTGCCATACCCAGCAGGTCCTCTGCAGCCCAGGCTCTGCCCCAGAGACCCCCAGGTGGCTACACCAAGTAACGTGTGAAAGCCACTGCCCTGGTGGGGCTTTAGGTCACCTCACTGGGCAGTCACCAGCTTTCACAGAGAGACTTGGGCCAGGATCAGTGCTTTTCAGCTGTATGGATTGATTTTGGTTTGTGATGCTGGGGCTTGAACTCACACCTTTGCACTGATCTTCATCCCCAGCAGTTTTCTTTTTCTTTTTTTTTTTTTTTTTTTTTACAGAACCGGGGATTGAACTCAGGCCCTTGCGCTTGCCAGGGAAGCGCTTATTCCACTGAGCCATCTCCCTGGCCCTGCTTCTGAGATTTTTTTGAGGCAGCATCTTGCAATAGAGTTTATCCTTTCCTTGAACTTACAGTGTAACACATGCTAGTCTTGAATTCATGTCAGTTCTGCCTCAGTCTCCTAAGTGCTGTGTTACAGGCATGTACCACCTGGCCCAACCTTTTTTTTTTTTTTTTTTTTTTTTTTTTTTTGCAGAATCAGGGATTGAACTCAGGCCCTTGCGCTTGCCAGGCAAACGCTTATTCTACTGAGCTATCTCGCCAGCCCCTACTTTTATGTATTTAGTACAGGGCCTTGCTATGCAGCTCAGACTTGTAGTGACCCTCCTGTCTTTTAGCCTTCCCAGCGCTGGGATGACAGGCATGCGCCACCACACCAACTTTTTATTTTGAGACCAGGTCTCACTAAGTCACTAAATTGCCTGGGCTGGGCTAGAATTTTTTTTTTTTTTTTTCCGGAACCAGGGATTGAACTCAGTCCCTTGCACTTACCAGGGAAGCACTTATTCCACTGAGCCATCTCCCCGGCCCTGGGCTAGAATTTACAGTCTTCTTGCCTCAGCCTCTCAGAGTGCTGGGCTTACAGCTATGTGCCACTAGTGTTTGCATAGTTCCAGTGTTAAGCAGAAGCGTCTCTCAACTTATAATGGCGTTGCCTCCCAGCAAACCCATCATGCCCTGAGAATATAGCAGGGCACACATGCACGGGGTCCACTCAGCAGCACTGCACACTGTGGGGGTTGGCCATTTCCCCTCTTGGCTCGGGGCTGCAGCTCTCTGGCTCTGTCCAGCATCCTGAGAGAACAATATGGAACATCACTAGCCTGGAAAAGATCAGCAGCTACTCAAAGGACAGCAGCTTCTGAAACCAGGTCACATTTGCACTGTCATAAAGTCAGAAACCTTAGGTCAGGGAGCTAGGGCTATGGTGCTGTGGTGAGTACTTGCTGAGCGTGTAACACATACAAGGCCCTGAGTCCCATCCTCAGCATAAAAAATAAAAATGTAAACCCAGGGGCTGAAGAGATAGCTCAGTGGTCTGAGCACCTGCGTGGCAAGTGTAAGGACCCAGTTTGATCCCTTGTACCGAATGCGGTGCTGGCCCCACCACAGGCACCCCGAGCCAGCCATGGAGATTAGGCATGGTGGCGCACACCTGAAACCCCAGCACTGGGGAGGCTAAAACAGGAGGATCACTATGAGTCCAAGCTGCCTAGCAAGACCCTGTACCAAATATATAAAATTACAAAAAAAAAAAAAAAAAAGAAGGCCTGTACTCAAGCAGCTGAGGCAGGAGGATCTTCATGAGTTCAGGGCCACCCTGGGCTACATAGCAAGACCCTCTCTATCTCAGAAAAATGCCAGGGACCACCTGTGGGCCCCCAGTAAATGCGCAGGGCACTGCCATAAGAATCTGATGCTTACGGGATCTTCCCAGGAGTGGATTTCATGCCAGTGGCCATGTCATCACCATACATGGTCCCCCTGCCCAGGTCCCACTCCTGCTCCTCAAGGCTTCCAGTGGGTATGCCAGCTGGCAGTGCCTCATGCCGTTTGTCTCTCTTCCTTCCAGGGTGAAAGGAAAGGTGTCAACAAGTACTACCCTCCGGACTTCAACCCTGCAAAGGTAAGGGCTCCCCTTTTCAGAGAGACCCACATCATCCCCACACCTAGAGTCAGAGCCATGGCTGAGGAGGGACGGAAGCCACCGAGGCCTCTCTGCCCCACTCACTACACGAGTCTCGGCTGTCTCCCTCCTGGGTGACATGCAGGGCTCTGCTCGATGGCATCATTCCGTACCTGGCATCAGGCTTGGTGTGTTTGTAACAGCCTGGTGCATCATCCTCTTGACCCGCGCTTCCTCCAGGTCCCCTCACAGAGGTCCTCCCCAACCACGCTCTTCTGTCACATGCCCCTCCCACATGAGTCATTTCCCTATGTGTTACCATCTCCCCCACCAGAACCCTTGCTCCACGAGGGCAGGGCTGTCTGTCCCCAGCTCAGCACCTAAGCATCCCAGCTGTATGACTGTGACCACAGGTTCCTCCTGGCTATGGAAGAAGAGAAGAAAAGAAAACCTCACCTCACAGAATCACTGGCCATATAAGATGAGCCAAGTGTGTTGGCACACGCTTGTCATCCCAGGAGGCTGAGGCAGCAGGATTGGCATGAGTTCAAGGCCAGCCTGGGCTACATAGTGAGTTCAAGGCCAACCTGAACCACACACCCAGACCCTGTCTCAAAAACTAAATAAATAAAGCATATGAGATGTGTACAAACTTTACACAAATACTGCACCACATCACAGGAGGGACTTGAACATACACATATTTGGTTCACCCTGGGGGTTGAGCACCAACCTCCCGCAGACACCAAGGGAGGCTGTGTTCCTGAAGTTAACCACAAGCTTCCCCAAGCCCTGCCTGCCCCTTGCATTGCCAGACCTAACAGGGAGGCCTCTAGCCTGGGAACGTGCTGATCCAAAGTCTGGGGACATGGGGAACCCTGAGGACCCAGTTTATCAGAGCTGATTGACTCTCTCACCCTTGCCCACAGCATGGCTCTCTCAACCGATACCACAACAGCCACCCACTCCGGGAACGGGCTCGGAAGCTGTCACAAGGCATCCTCATCATCCGGTAAGGCCCTGGCACCCCCTGATTGGCCCAGTGTAATTGCATAGAGCAGAAAGTCATTGTGTCAGTCAGCTATTGCTGCATAACAAAAACAAAAACAAATCATTTGTTACCACTGACAAATCTGGCTGCTCCTGCTGAACTTGGAAGGCTGGGCCAACCTGTGCTCACATCTTTGGGAGCAACTGGCCTAGGACTGGCTGGTCCAGCAGGGCCTTGAGCTCCATCCATGCTGCAGCTCATCCTCTAGCCAGCTGCCTGTGCTCACACACAAGCCCACAGCAGCTTGCAGGGCCTCTTCAGACCAAGACCCAGAGCTGGCGCACTGCCCCTCCTTGCTCCTGGGTTGGCCAAAGTGGGTCATGGTTCCAGGGTTGGGGGTGGGTACCGCCTCTCCATAAGATGAATTGCAGAGACTGGGCTGGCAGTGGGGCAGAGATCATGGATGTGAGGTGGGTACAGACAGGGCTGGGCACGCCGGCACGGGTGTGGGCCATGCTCCTTGGGAGGCCAGCCAGAGGTGTCGCTTGAGCCCAGGTATTCTGGGCAGTGTGGGCAGCATAGCGACCCTGTCTCAAAGAACAAATGATGCTAGGATGGCCGGGGCCCTTCCTCCACCTTTGTCTTTGATTTCCAGCCTGTACCTTGGTGGCTGACTTATTATAGAGAGCAAAAGCCTGCTTGTGTTACCCCAGTGGAGCCAGCCCCTTGCCCTCCTCCCCCTGCTATGTCTCACTTCCCTTGGGGACTGCCAGCCCAGTCTCCTCTCAGCCCTGAGCCTGAGCAGAAGACCCAGTCGCAGAGTCACTGGGGAGTAACCCTTGAGGAAGTGAGGTGCCAAGTCCCAGCTGGACGTGGTGTTGCACACCTGTAATCCCAGCACTCAGGAGGCTGAGGAAGGAAGATCGCCCGAGTTTAAGGCCTACCAAGGCTACATGTGAAGACCCTGTCTCAAAAGAGCAATATAAAAGACAACTGCTCCCAAAAGGGACCTTGGGAGCCACAGTGCTGAATGTCACCTTGAAAGCCTCTTCTTTATGCTCCACAACTGCCCCAGTTCACATGCTGTGGTCTGGCCTGTGCTACCTCCATCATTTTTTTATTTTTGGTACCAGGAATCAAACTCGGGTCCACATACTTGACAAGCAGGCACTGTGCCACTGGGCTATATCCCTGGCCATGTTTTTATTTTTGAGTCAAGTTCTCTCTGATTTGCCCAGGCCAGATTTTACCTTGTATCACTCCTCCCTCAGCCTTCCAGCATGCTGGGGTGACAGCTGTGGCAGCGCACCCAGCTCACCATTGTTGTGTTCACATGACCAAGTCAGCTAAGGGCTCCTTTCTCGGGATATACCCTGTCACCAGGTGACTGCATGACTGCTCAGTGACAACACAGCAGCTTTACTAAACCCTGAGCAGCACTCAGCTGCCCTCTCTGCTCCAGTGTCCAGGAGCTGGGTGAGATGTTGCCTGTCTGTAACCACACCCACTGGGGAGGCTGAGATGGGAGATCACAAGTTCTAGTCCAGCCCGAGCAATTTAGCAAGACCTTGTGTGAAGATGTTAAAGGCGCGGAAATGTAGCTCGGGAGTGTGCTTGCTTAGCAAACAAGCCTGAGTATCTTGGCTTCACCCTCAACATTGCAAAAATATAAATCAAGTGTGTCTCCCTGACACAGGGAGGTGTTAAAGACACTGCAGTACCCTAGGAGGCTGACAGTGACTGGTCCCAGGTCCCTGTCACGCTGGGGAGGCCCAGCGTGTGACAGGAATCGTGCCAATTCCTTACCTGCTCCCTCCCTATGTCCATTGCAAGGGGACCACAACCACACCCATTGGAGTTGGCTTCTATCACCCACCCCTCCAATTAGTCCCAGCCCAGGGACAGTCCCAACAGGACAAGTGCTAGCAGGGTGCTATCTGGCCAGGCACACTGCTGGTGCACTCAGTAGTCCCAGCTCCCCTGGAGTCTAAGGCAGGAGGAACACTTGGACCCAGGCGCTGAGGACTGAGCAGTGTAACAAGACCCTTTCTGGAAAAGGAATAAACGAGTACCGTTTGTCCTTGTAGGTTCGAGATGCCATATAACATCTGGTGTGACGGCTGCAAGAACCACATCGGCATGGGTGAGCTCCCTACCACACTCACTGCTCAGCCTTGCAGATGCGGAGCCCTGAGGTGCTGGGCACTGCAAGATTCGGTCCCCTTCGGGGGCTCCTGATGAGGAATGGGGGACTGACACCCAGGATGCAGAGTGATTAGGAAGCCACACTTGGGTTCTTATGCATCTCTCCCTCTTCTGGGCTGAGAAAACCTCAGCAAGCAACTGAGCCTATCTTGCCTCTGTTTACCTCTCCATAAAAGCGACAATGCAAGGGCCTACGGTATAGAAGGTGCTTAGTAAAGCCAAGAGTGTGGGACCGGCCAGAGAACTCAGCAGGCTAAAGCGTCTGCTTAGGCAGACTCAGCAGCTAGAGTTCGATCCCCGGCTGTGCCAGCCCTGCCCCCAGGGTGTGCCGAGATGGTGACTGAGACTGGGTGTGGCGGCTCATGCCTGTAATCCCAGTGCTTGGGAGGCTGAAAACAGGTGGATCACTACAAGTTCAATCTGTAGTGAGACCCAGGAGACTTTGTACTAAACACATAAAAATAAAAATGAAAAAATAAAGCCCAGAGTGGTGCAGGCTTTTCATCCCAGCCCTCAGGCTGAGGCAGGATGATCACAGGTTTGCATACAGCCTGTGCAACTTAGCAAGACCCTGTCTCAAAAGATTCTGGATTCAGTTCCCAATACCACCAAGAGAAAAAATGACATCACCTGAGCCAAAGGCTGGGAAAGGCCAGCTGCCACAGCCCTTGCTGTTTCCCTCTGCTCGTGGCCTACAGGGCCAGGATGGTCCACAGCACCAGCTGCACAGCCCTGAGCTGGTGGGCAGACGTTTTGAATTCCTGGCTCCACTTCTGTTGTACAAGACACTGTCTGGGCTTCCCTTTGCCCTCAGACCACAGCCATCAGCACCACCCCTTCTGACCCGAGGGGGTTGTCACCTGCCCTCCAAGCACGCAGCTGGCATCAGGAGACCTCACTGGACCTCCTCCGACCCACCTGGAAAAGCCGTGTCCCCAAGGCTGCTCCCTTCCCAGAACAGTTGTGACCCAGTGGCCAACCCCGGAGGGCATCTCCTATGCTGACCAACAGGCTGTAAATCAGGATCCCAAGCGCCCTTCCCTCAGTCCCATTAATTTGCTCAACTGACTCACAGGACTTGAGGAACCCAGTTTATTATAAAAGTACATTCCAGGGGTGCTGGGAGTACAGCTCCTACACATACATAGCACGCGCGCGCAAGGCCCTGGGTCCCAGCACAGAGGACACAGTGAACAGGCTGCGCTCCCAAGCGTGCCCCAGTAGCTGCCCTCAGAGCCTCCAGGCGTGGCCTCTGGAAACTTCCACATCTGACCTTAGGGTTTCCGGGGATGTCACTGCATAGCAAGAGAGCCAACAAGGCCATCTGCTCAGAGCCCTCTTGGCCTTTCCAGGCAGCATCACTCCTTCAGGGCAGGGCAGGGCGGGCCTACCAGAGAGAGGTGATCACAGCAGTTCTCCAGGCCCAGCTCCAGTGGATGAGGCAGGAGAGATAGGCGATGACCTCCATGGCGGCCGAGGGTGTGCTGGGCCTGGAACCAGGACAGAAGCCGAGATCTCAGCCAAGCCCAGCACCACACACAAAGCCTCAGATCCGTGAGCTCAGGTGGCCTCCCAGAAAAGGGAAACTGAGGCAGGCCACACTATCCACCCAACAACATGACTGTCTTGCTAGTTTATGCTTTATCACTCCTGGTCAGAAGCCATGAATCTAAATTACTTAATCAGAGCCAGTGCTGCTGTTTACACATGTAATCCCAGCCTGGGCTACAGAGGCAGACCCTGTATCCTATGTCAGAATTAAATAAAATTGACACCTCTAAAAAAGTAGTAACAGACAAAGACTTTTTTTTTTTTTAGAAAGGGTCTCACTGTACAATTCAAACTGGCTTTTTTTTTTTTTTTTTTCAAACTGGCTTTGAACTCACTGTGTAGCCCGGGCTGGCCTCAAATCATAGCAATCCTCCTGTCTTAGCCTCCCTAGTGCTAAAATTAGAGGTGTGTGTCACCACTCCCAGCTCAAAGCCAACCATGACTAAACATCTGCCAAGTGCCAGGCCTGATTTGCAGCAATTCCTGCCTCAGCTTCAGTGCTGAGAGCCCAGTGAAGCATGCATTATAGTCCACCTCCTTGAATAAATGGGGAAACTGAGACCTGGAGGGGAGGGCACCCAGCCTAAGGCTGCACAGATGGTCAGCAGTGGAGCTGGGATTCAAATCCAGACCCCTGGTGTGAGCAGCTGAGGGTGCACCCAGGACATGTCCTGCCCCACTGGACCCCAGTGCCTGCTGGAGGTGGCCATCATGTGGGCAGAGCCGCTCTACCTGACCCAACCTGTGCCCGAGGAAAGATGCTGGCATAGCCTGGCCTGAGCCTCTTTCTCTCCTGCCCCACAGGCGTTCGTTACAATGCAGAAAAGAAGAAAGTGGGCAACTACTATACCACCCCCATCTACCGGTAAGGGGAACAGGAGCAAGGCACAGGTGAAGGGGACTGCAGATACTCTCCTTGAGCCATTCTGCCGTCAGGGAACATCCAGAACCTTACATGGCTCCCACCTTCAGCAAAAGCCAAGCTCTCTCTTGGGCTCACACGGCCCTGCTCCTCCCTCTGTTGTCCGCCCCTCTGCTGTGTGTCCGCAGCCCTGCTGCCCCCCTGTCCTCTCCCCTCCACGCTCCCACGTGTGCCTTCCACTGGAGCACTCTTCCCATGAGTGAGTGAGGGAGTGAGTCCACTGCAGCCTCCTCCAGCTTTCTGTTTTGTCTGTGTTTGTGCCACTGGGCATGGAACCCAGGGCCCTGCTTGCCAGGAGAGTGCTACAGCCCTGCCCAGCAGGGTGGGACCCCATTGCAGGGCTAGCAGCACAGGTGGCCATGAGCACTTGGGCATGAGGAGTGGCCCCTGCCCCTACCCTGCCAGGTTTCGGATGAAATGCCACCTGTGTGTCAACTACATCGAGATGCAGACCGACCCCGCCAGCTGTGACTATGTGATCGTGAGTGGCGCACAGCGCAAGGAGGAGCGCTGGGACATGGAGGACAATGAGCAGGTGCTGCCCACAGGTGAGCGCACCTGCCCCCCAGCCCTGCCTGGCACACTGAGGCCTGCGCCCAGGGCCCCAGGGCCACCCTTTTCTGGCCGTTGCAGAACATGAGAAGAAGCAGAAGCTGGAGACAGATGCCATGTTCCGCCTGGAGCACGGGGAGGCGGACCGCAGCTTACTCCGCAAGGCCATCCCCACGCTGAGCCACCTCCAGGAGGCTCAGAGCGCCTGGAAGGACGACTTCGCGCTCAACAGCATGCTGCGCAGGCGTTTCCGGGTAAGGCGGAGTGCGTGGGCGGGCCCTTGACCTGCTGGCCTTGTCAGGGTGGCTTCAGAGGAGGGGAAGGAACCGAGGATCCGTACCACGTCCCCACTGTAAGCAGATCTTTTCACCCTCTGTGGGTGTAGTAGTTGTGTCACACTAGTGTTCCCACAGGACAAGGAATGTTACACAGGAAAGGTCCAGCCACAGTGATACTAGCTAGTGGGGAGTGGCAGCTCCATCAGTGGGAACTATAGACAGGCACCCAGCCAGTCGCTGGCCCAGACATCAGTGCAACCATGACCTGTTAAGGTGGACGAGTGAGGGGGTGACCATCACCAACAGTTATGTGTAGAGGCCTCCCTCACAGGAGCAGGAAGAGGAGCCAGCTGAGACCCCCTAGCTGCAGAGCTCACCCTGCCTTGTGTTGTCCCTGCCACAGGAGAAGAAAAAGGCCGCCCAGGAGGAGGAGGAGCGGGACCAGGCACTCCAGGCCAAGGCCAGCCTGGCCATCCCGCTCGTGCCTGAGACCGAGGAGGACCGCAGGCTGGCTGCCCTCCTCAAGTTCCACACTCTGGACTGTGAGTGACCTGGGGCAGGAGGGTGGTGCAGAGCAGGGCAGCCAGCTCTGGGCTTCAGTCCTTCCTCGGGTGCTTTGGGGGGGTCCCAGGGGTGGAGCTCAGGGCCTCATGCATGCCTGCCAAGCACTGTGACACCGAGCTATAACACCAGCCTTTCCTGCATCCCTAAATGTCACCTCTCCCCACCCAAATGTCCCTCCTGCCTTCAGCCTATGAGGACAAGCAGAAGCTCAAGCGCACGGAGATCATCAGCCGTTCCTGGTTCCCCTCTGCCCCAGGCCCCAGCTCCAGCAGCAGCAAGGCCAGCAGCATGCTGAAGAAGCTGGCCCAGGGCCGCAGGGCCGGACCCCCTGCCTGCAGCCCCATCACGGTGGGCGACCTGGGCATTGTGCGGCGGCGGTCTCGGGAAGTCCCAGGGAGCCCCCAGCATACCACGGATGCCTCCACAACCCAAGAGCTGCTAAGGCTGCAGGGGGACCCCCAGAATGGACCTGCATCCCCCGAGGACTGCCCTAGGGGCACAATTGAGAGCCTCAAGACCAGTGTGCATTGGGAACAGGAGGAGAGTAGCCAGGATGAGCCCCAGTCCCCAACAGGCTCCTCCCAGGAAGCAGACACCCCACATCCCAGCTGTTCCTCATTGGTGGCCGACTACTCAGACTCAGAGAGCAGTGAGTGAGGGGCCTGGTCCTAGCAGAGGGATTGCCTCCAGGAGCCCCTCCTGGGCTGCAGGCCCTACCATAAGCCTCCCCACACCTTGCCTTCCCACAGCCTCAAAGTTATTTATTTAGTCCAGCCCAGGGGGCCTGTGACTTGTGGGACCCCAACACCCCAAAATTAAAGCTCTGTTCTTTGCCTCTGCCTTGGATTAAAGTCTGGACCCTGAGACCACAGTTGATGCATATGACCCTGAGAGGCCTAACTTAGCAAAGTAAAAAGCAGAAGGAACCCAGGCAGCAGGAACCACCTGGGGAGGCCAGGGTGGGACAGATACCAAGCTCCAGGCAGCCCATGGGGACCTCACGAAAAAGTCCTAATGGCCCTGGGAACGGCTTTGGGTCCACCAGCGCGGCACACTGCCCACACCGCAGTGTTGGAGAGGATGTCATAAACACCCACTGGACCCCTGCTGTCTGCCGGCTCCTGGGGGTGTGGCAGGAAAGATGTACTTTTGGGAGCTATCTGTGGCCACCTCTCTGAGGATATTAGCCTGCCGGCTCTTCACATGGAACGACGGGCTTTAGAGAGGCAGTTAAGAACTTGTCTGACGGGCTGGTGAGATGGCTCAGTGGTCTAAAGCACCTACAAAAAGCAAAGGGACCGCGGTTCAATCCCCCAGCACCACATGCCAGCCAGCCCTGCCCCCTGAGCTGGCCACACACACACACACACAAATAAATAAAATTAAAAAAAAAAAAAGTTTAAAAAAAAAGAACTTGTCTGAGGTCCAGCATGGTACTTCCAGTACTTTGCGAGACTTGAGACAAGGGAATAGCACAGTGAAGCCCAACCTGGGCAACCTAAAGAGACCGTTATTTCAAAAGAGCTAAGGGGGGTCCCCCAACCAGTGCCTTGGCGTAGTGAGACAACCAGGATTAAAATCAGACGTCCTTGGCAGGACTGGATCTCCAGCGCTGCCTTTGCCAAGTCCACCAGTATTACTCCTCTGGCTGGAGACCGCCAGTGCCTTATAGTGCTATCCTTATAGTGCTATCCTGAGGTTTAAGATCAGGCTGACCCCTGCCCAGACACGCTAAATACAAGGTCTGGTGGCATCCAGAGGCCCGTAACATGCCACTTAGCGGTTCCTGGGAAGTCACTATCACGCTGGGATTGTCCCAGCGGATACCGGGAACTCTGCAGACTGGCTGGCGCGCAAGCCGCCGAGAGCCCGCCTCCTGCGCTGGTTCCCGCGCGCCTGCGCACTGGCATCCGTGGGCGTGGCGGCAGCATGGCGCTGGAGTCCATCCGCTACAAGCCGGGCTCCCTGCAGGTGCTCAACCAGCTGCTGCTGCCCCAGCAGAGCCTCTACGAAGCGGTGGTCTCGGTGCAGCAGGCCTGGGAGGCCATCCGCGCCATGAAGGTGCGCGGTGCCCCCGCCATTGCGCTCGTCGGATGTCTCAGCCTCGCCGTGGAGCTGCGCTCCGGCGCGGGCGGCCCGGGCCCCGCAGAGCTCGCGGCCTTCGTGCGCGACCGGCTGAGCCTCCTCGTCACCGCGCGACCCACCGCGGTGAACATGGCCCGCGCCGCCCGCGACCTGGGGGCCGCTGCGGCCCAGGAGGCGGCACGCGACGGCGCCACCGAGGAGGCGGTGCGGGAGAGGTAGGGGAGCCCGAACCACGCATTGCCCCAGCGGGAGCTACCACCTCTGGGTGGAGAAACCGAGGCACGGTATATTTGAGTCCCATGCCCCCAGGTTCGAGGGCTGGGAGGCTGCTCCGGGCAGGTGGGCACCCTAGTCCTACTCCCAACCCTGCAGTCCTTAAGCCTGCCCGGCCCTCGTGTCACCTCCATCTTAGCTTGAGTTTTGCAGGAATTGTGCTTTTTGTCACCCCAGTCACACCATGTTCCTGAAGTTACAGGCTCGCTCTAGGCCCACGGTCTTTGCAAGAGCCTGTGCTCCCTTTCATCCCCTTGTCACATTACCCTAGTCTGATTCTGCTTTTTTCCTTCACTTTATTATGAGCTCGTACCCTGCCTTCCTCACCCCACTGTCCTGCCTCAGCCTCCTAAGCAGCTGGGATTGATTACAAGTGTGCTGTGCTGCCTCGCCAGTGGGGCTGAAATTTCTGTTTTGTTTGCTGCTGTGCCCCCTCCTATATCAGACACACAGGAAGTGCTGGGAAAGTGTGTCACATGAGCACACAGAGTGACAGATTTGTGATGGTGGCAAAAGCATCCAGGCAACAAGGGGCTTCCAGCAGGAAAACCCCACATAACGGTCGCGGGTGGACAGGAGGGGCTGGCCTAGGCCCTGAGGTCTCAGGCTGGTGCTGAGAGCCCCTTGTCCTCGGCCCCAGAGTGATCCGCTACGCCGAGGACATGCTGGAGAAAGACCTGAGGGACAACCGTAGCATCGGGGACCTGGGAGCCTACCACCTCCTGGACCGGGCAGCCCCCCAGGGTGGCAAGGTGAGCGTGCTGACCCACTGCAACACTGGCACACTGGCCACCGCTGGCTACGGCACAGCCCTGGGTGAGTAGACATCTTGAGGGGGATAACAAAGGGCCACTTTGGGGTACAAGAGAAAGAAACTAGGTGGCTGGCTGTAGCTCAGTGGTGAAAGCATAAGCTTTAATATGCATGAGGCCTAAGGTTGAATCCCCCCACCAGAAACAAGAAAGGAAGAGCTAAGGGGGCTGGGGAGACGGCCCAGTAGAATAAGCGCTTCCCTGGCAAGCCCAAGGCCTGAGTTCAATCCCTGGTTCCGCAAAAAAAAAAAAAAAAGGAAGAACTAAGCCTGAACTACTGTACCCGCACAAAAACAATACATAACTGTATTAGTATAGATGCCCTTTATTTTTTTCTGTATTTTAGGGAAGGGTGTACAGGGTGTTCAGGGTCTCACTACTAGATCGGACTCATAGTGCTTCTCCTGTTTACAGCCTCCCAAGTGCTGGGATTACAGGCACATACCACCACACCCAGTCTCAATCGCATCTCAGTGCGCCCCGGGGGCAGGGCCAGCACAGCAGGCCCCTACACCTGCTCACAGGTGCTTTAATGCGCTGAGCTATGTGGCCAGCCCAAGTGTAGATACCCTTAAGGGGCTGGCTTCAGGTCCAGGGGCTCAAAGCATAGCAGACCTCTTATATAATGAGGTCTGACAGGTTCGTGAGGCCGGCGGCGCTGAGGAGTGGGGCGGTCTCGTGGTTGCTGGTGAGCCTGCGGCGCGCGTGTGGGACCACGGCCCTGAAGATTAGCCACAATGGCTGAAAATGGTGATAATGAAAAAATTGCTGCACTGAAGGCCAAAATCTGTCATCAAATTGAGTATTATTTTGGAGACTTCAATTTGCCACGGGACAAATTTTTAAAGGAACAGATCAAATTGGATGAAGGCTGGGTACCCTTGGAAATAATGATAAAATTCAACAGGCTCAACCGCCTAACAACAGACTTCAGTGTAATAATAGAAGCATTGAGCAAATCTAAAGCAGAACTCATGGAAATCAGTGAAGATAAAACTAAAATCAGA